AGATGACCAAAACAGCATTTCCTGTTTCATAAAAATAACCAATGCTACTATGGTGAAATGATCACAAGAAATAAGTGCAAGAAACAGGATCCAAACTCAAAAAAGAGATTTTTATCAAGTCTCACCTCTGAGATAGACAATAAGAGGCTGAAGAGAGAGGTAGGAACTGTTTAAAGGTTTTATATCTTTCTAAAACAACTAGTCCCCCCACAAATCTAGAGTTTAATCCCCAGTCTCTAGATAATAAAAAAAACTAGTCCCCTGCGAAGTAGAGCTACTAACATTAGAATACATGTGGTCTTGTCAGAGAATTCAAGTTTATATTCTGACAGTGCAGCACAATAAAAATAAAGAGGATTGGGCAACAATTGCAGGTTCTACCTTGCAAACAAACAAACAAAAAGAGAGAGAGAACCTTCATTTTGTTAATTAACATACCCTAATGGAAATTCAAAATGCCACTTCTACATATCAGAATTATGCATCTTTCTTCCCAAATTTGGTCCGTGTGCAGAGTTCATGGTACGGATGGTAACTTTTTTGCCACATTGAGAACCAATTTTTCAATAAATTGCATGCTTCTAACTGTTGTGACCCAAAGCTCGTTCCATGAACATCAAAGTTCAACTTGATAGGGCACAAGTCATCAAATAGTTCCAGTCCGGCACCAATGGTATCTGTGTGGTCACCACGATTAACCTCCTTCAGACACACTTGAGATATCAAAGTATCAAAATCTTCATCTTTATAGTTTTTCTGTGTGTCACCAATGGCAGATGTCTCATTTGCAATTGGATGGTAAATGAAGAACGGTTTGGATTTTTGCGAGTCAACCCACATCTCATCCCTATCATCAGCAAGGGAGACATCTCTATTGCTGTGAAACTCAGAGCCAGACTCTGACACAGCCATTTCTGTGGCCACCTGTATGACTTCATTGCACCTAAGACCTAATTCCACTTTCGATGAATATGCACATACTTCTTCTGAATCAGGACAACCCCTCTGGAACTCATGAAGTGTGAGCAGGATAGGAAGAGGAAGAACAGGACCCACAAGAGAATCACTAAGCTGCACTCTATTTGAACCCTTACTGCTGTGGCATGAAGGCTTCCTTAAGAAGAAGGGAGGCAACTGGGGTGGGTTTGGAACAACTGCAAAATCCAAAGGTACCTTCTTCTTCTCTAAGAGCACGTCAAAACATTCAGAATAACTACAGAAGGCCAGCTGTAAAAGTTCCATAGGTAAACTCGCCCACATTTGCCTCAAAGCAACCTCAACTACACTTGTTGGCAAGCTAATTTCATTAAAAACAGCAGCAATGGCAGGGGAAGACCGGAAGCGACCAAATCCACAAACTTTCAGCTTCTCACACAAAATTTCATGGAAGTCTAAGCTATATTCCTTCTTTAAAGGACCCTTAGAGGACATTCTCATTTTGGAATCCAGGATTTCAGCAAGATTTCCATTCAAATACCCCTTAAGATATTCAAGCTTCAAATATTC